CCCGGTCATTCGGCAGGTGGCACTGCATGCAAAAGTTGCGATCTTATCCTAACTCGGCATTCGCGCTTATACGCTTAACCCGTAAAGTAGGAACTTCTATACTTACCCCGCATAGCATGAACTTCTATACTTACCCGTAGCGCGATTTCTACCGAGCTAGTTGACCAAGTGCATTTGGATAGATATGGGTATTAACTCCTCACACGCCTTGCACGTCGACACATACACCCATGTCATCTTTTAATTTAGCCCCTCACTCGAAGGCATAGGGACCATTACGTACTTACCGACACCATCCCGATCCCGTGAGCGTAGCGGAAGAGCTGAACCACCCAAGACATCGGATTTTGTCGGTCGAAACAATTTACACGCTAGCCCGCTGAAATCGGTAATATTTGGTTTGTCCAATCACAAAATTGCGTGGGTTAGTGTCTATACGTAACGTTGATAAACAGAGAGCGCCAGACCACGGGTTTATTGTCAGACCATGTGCAGCGAATTCTTGCCATTGAGTCGCGACGTTGTCATGAAAACACGCCTCGTCCCCGGTCCTCGTTCCTGGCTGAAATGATCCCTGCCTCCCGGGACACAGATGTTCCGCGGAAAATGTCGCCGAGCACAAGGCTTTGTGGGATGGTAATGTCCTTTCTGGCTCTTTTCTGCCCGTTAGACAGGTGTATGTTACCTTCCGTTTACACATGGCAAGACGAGCTGGACAGCTTGCCGATTGTGCTACTGGCTGCAATGAGCTGCAAGGTTACGCAAGAGCGTTACGCGAGGTAAGAGCATCATTGTGTGCGTGTGTTTTGGGGTGGGGGAGACCACCACATGGTCCCCTACGGCAGATCTTTAGAGCTTCGTCAGATCTATAGCAGATTTACTAATGTATTCTCCAGCGTTTGTTACCAGGTCTTCGTCATTTTTCAAAAAGGGCGTGAAGTCGGACGCTAAGAACTAATTCATCAACTTCAATCAACCGACGCACAAAATACCGCACCGTTTTGCTGGCATGTTGGCCGTTTTTGTGCTTCACGTCCACGTGATCAAAGAGATAGGCGTATATCAGCTTTCGCATTATGCCTTACATTGAACTCTCCGAATGTTGATATAGCCTGCCCGTCGGGAAATCCTCCCGGTGCAGCGATTACGTCCCATCACACCATCTCCAAAGGGATTTATGCAATACCGCGTCTTAGTTGCTTTTTGAAGTCTACCGTTTTCTCCGGCCCATCCCACTCACTGCGCCAAGCTCCCAAGCCAGCTTCTGGTTTTTCATAATTCAGCTGGAGAAATGAGACTTCCGCGAAGAGCGTGAGATTAGCTGAGGTCCAGCACTCAAACTCTGCCCTCGCGTTCCACGTATAAGTCGTCTGATCACTCCGCTCGGGCTTCCAATGTCACTTCCCATGCAGACCCTTCACCTCGTTGAAGCCTTAGCACACCTTTGACGCGGTTGCTGGATGGGATAGCAGCATCGGCGACAGCTGAAACTTGCGGCTGAAGGAGCGCAAAAGCGCATCACACACAAACCAGTCCCAACGACATTGTTCCTACACTTTGTGCGCGGGTGAATGTCATGAGGTGAATGCTGACAGCACACCAGGTGCTTCAGGTCAACATGCGTCCTTCCAGGTCCCAGATTCAACGCGCAGTGATGTCATGGCTCAGCGACCCAGTTTGTAGTTTATACGCACAGTTAAACGTGATGGTATGTTGGCACAAGTGGGAAGAGAAAATCAGACTCGATTTTCTTTGGCTGGTCGGAAACGCAATGCGCTTATTTTGAAAGGAGTGTTCAACAATTGTAGGGGTTTTGAACTGAAACAGCCATCTTGAAGACTTTGACGCTGTTCGCAAACCTGTCCTTCTTAAGACCTAAGCCACGTCAGTTTCTGAGCTATACGCCCGCGAAAATGGGAAGAGTATTTTGGGGAGAGTATTTGAAAGCTGCCTCTAAACTCATGGTATGATAGTGATATTCTTCAAAATATGTCATTCCTTAAGCCATTTGGCGATCAAGGCCAAGAAAAATGTCATTGTCGAGGCGTTCATATCTGGCGTTTGTGAGTACGATTTCCAGATGTAACGGCCATTAATTGGCTTCCAATCTATGTTGTGCAAGGAGTCGTGACGTAATCAAATCATGACTCATTGACCATCATGTTTACTTAACAGTGCATCGTGCTGTCTAGAGCAGTCTTCTCCACTTAAAAATTACACCCATAGTAAAAAGTGAGCTTGTTTCATCCTACTTGACGCTTGAATATCTTCATATGTGAAACGTTTCCACTAATCTGTACAAACCGGGCGTATAATACGCACACAGAACTGCCGGGCACCGCTCCAATGAGCCAGGCGTGAATTAACAGACGTGTTCCTCACCAGGATTGCTATAATTAACGACGAATCACGGAATCGTGACATCATTTCACGCGAAGGCTTCACTGAGCTGACCCGGACGCTTCCCCGTCCCTCGGTCAGGCAGCCGGCCAGCGCCACCAACACTTCACGGACACCAGCCCCTCCCAGCTGCCAGCTCGGCTCGGCTCGACTCGACTCGACTCGACGTGCCGACAGCGCCGACCGAGGCCGTTCCGTTCGGGGAACGCGCCGCGCCGGAACCGCCGCCGCTCCGCGGAGCGTCCGACGGCCCGCGACTCCGCGGATGACCCCGTGCCCGCTGGTGATCCCGATGACCCCGAGCCCGCTGGTGATTGGCGGTTCAAGTCGACTGGGCGTGAAAGAAACGGTGCCGATCGCACGTCGTCGTTCGGAGACGCGCGACAAAGCTAGACCGGGTTCTTCGGCCGTGAACCAGCCCCAAGTGGGGAGAAACGCTGCTTCATTTTTATTGAGAACTTACTCTAGTTTCGTTTGAATATGGAAGTGTAGACTGTGCGGTAAATGATTGTCAAGGATGATGCCATACTGCCCTTTGGCAACGGTGTTGAAACTAGCAATAGTCATTGAAAAACTTGTCGAAAACCACGTATCAGCGCTTTAACTTCGTGCATTAGGTGAACACTTCAAAGCCTTTTTAGAAATCACTTGTCAGCTCTGTAACTTCATGCATGCAACCTGGATTTCAATGAGGAAAGATGCCTCTGAACTTCTGGGCACGAAATACTCAACTCGTTTGGTGTAGCTTTTCCATGCTAAAACCGCCAAATACGTTTCCGTTTTGAGCAGCAGCTGATGCCCTTCTGGAATCTATTGGGATTTCAGTATCGTCAAGGTTGGTAAGTCACGTGTAGCACGTAACCGTGCTGGAAATTGGCCGCCTTTTCTTGGGCTTGCTGCAGCCGACGCTGTGTGAGGTGGAAATCACCGGATCCGAAGTGCTTCCGATTTCTCCACGGGACGACGTGGAAAATCAGGGCCGAATCCTGAGAAGTTCCTCGCAATCTGGCGATATCAATCTGCGAGGAAATGTCAAACCAATGCCGTGTGGATGGGTGCACTGCTTCGGCATGCAGATGCATCTCTCGGGAGATATAACATTTTGATCGGTCAGGGGCAGAGGTTTCATAACATGGCTCAGGGGCTATTCGAATCGGAGATGAAGTGAGATTAAAGGTTCACCGAGCAATATTTGCTATCTAACTAAGCAGAGGAGTGGCGCATTTCCTCTTTACGTGACGCTCTTGTAAGTACCACTGCCAGGCGCTTTCACACATCACATTTCTAAACTGTTAACATTTCAGTTATGTTATGTTGCGGTGTTAGTGTCCACACCCGTTCTTTAAGCACTAGAGTTAAGGTGCCATTAGACAGACACAAAATGCTCGGCTTATACTATAGAGTAGCGCGCTTTTGCATATCCAAATGCTGGCAAATCTGAACCAAGCATATGAAATGATACATTGTTATAAACGCAGACCGCAACCATTAGCAACTGCAGTTTTCTTGCTTTTGTGCTCAGTCATGCACATAGTAATCTTATCACCATTGCCTCCGGAACCGAGCTGCTCCCGACAATGGAGTAGAATAACAGCATCAGTCTGGCGGTTATGACTCCCCGGCCACTGGTTGTTGCTCTCACACCTCTAGCGCAGGCGCTGATCTATTCCCGCAGCCGTTCTCTGGATGGAAACTGCACCGCACGGGCAGAGGAATGAAGACTGTAGAACAGTGCGCCAGATTTCCAAATTTACTGCGAATCTCAACGGTGCCAAAATTTGTTAGTCGACTTTCTCACCGGAAAAAATCCGTTAAGAATCGAAATATGCAAGCAACGAATTGCTAATCATTCACGTTGAAATCCAGTGTTTACCAAGCGCACATATCTCGTCGTCGATAGCCGTCCAAATAACTGTGTATGATTTCATGTCATTCCTGGCCACAACGTTCTTGACGCCTTGATGCGTCGCGCCCGGTGTCGGTCTCCCCGCTGCCGCTCACCGACTGACCATGGGATAGAGCACCGCCAGCTCAATACGTGGGTCATATAGGCATGTGCTGAGGCTTGCAATGGAGGTATTCGGTCAGTGGAGGGGATAATAGGCCAGACAGTGCCCATGATGAGATGCACGCCATGAGATACGCGCCATGAAATGATAAGAATAATAAATAATGAGATATGAATGCGCAATATGAGATGAGATGAGGTGCAGCGAGATACGCATCATTGATTACCGCTCATATGTAAGTGAAATGTGAAATGCTATCAAATTCTTGAGCTCTTATAGGTCTCACGAAATTTTGTCACACACAAAGCGGTCGACTGTGTCCTGAGATACCAATTCAGGTAACGATGGTAATAGCAATCGTTTAATGACGCGCTTTCCTCTTTTTGGTCACTGGCGTCACCACCTACAGCTGAAACTAAGACCTGTAACAGTTCTCCGAGAAAGAGATCGAACCCAAGGCATCCATACCGAGGTAGAAACTGGGGTCTTTAAAATTTATCCAAGGCGGGGATCGAACTCAGATCCATCCATGATCCATGAGAAAGACAGTCCGACTCCTTGGGCAGTCGCCCCCCCCCCCCCCCCCCCTCCTCACAGCTGCTCCGGAGTGTTCTCGCGTCCCACGGACTTTCGCTTGGACGACGATTCTGCATCGCTGGACGTTCCCACGTACGCCGCACCGTCTCCACGTGCAGTGAGCGTGAGGCATTGTTGTGACGTACGGGAGGGCGTCTCTGTCGGTCGACCGCGCCCGGCCTGCCCCGCCGCCGACTGATGGAGACGCCCGACGGTCCGCATGGCCCTCCGTCGGCATGGAGGTGACGACTGTATCCGTGGACGGAGAGAGAGAGAGAGAGAGAGAGAGAGAGAGAGAGAGAGAGAGAGAGAGAGAGAGAGAGAGAGAGAGATGAGAGAGGAGAGAGAGAGAGGAAAGAGAGAGAGGGGAAGAGAGAGAGGGGGAGAGAGAGAGAAGGAGAGAGAGAGGAGAGAGAGGAGAGGGGGGAGAGGAGAGGAGGGAGAAGAAGGAGAGGGAGAGAGAGAGGGAGAGAGAGAGAGAGGGAGAGGGAGAGAGAGAGAGGAGAGAGGAGAGGGAGAGGAGGAGGAGAGAGAGAGAGAGGGGAGGGAGAGAGGAGGGAGAGAGAGATAGGAGGAGGGGGGGAGGAGAGA